GATACATTGAGTAAAATGTCTCAGAAAAGATCCCTTAACCCAGCTATAAAGCAGTCTATTTATGTTTTTTCATATTTTCTGTAATAAACAACTTTTTCGAGAAAAAAATTTTTGTCCGGATTTAAGTGGCGGACCCTGTATAGTGTGTGCATGTTGACAACTAATTTGATAACTGCTGTATTGCTTACAAAGCTGTTTTTTATACAAGAAAAGTCTTTATGGATACCCTGACCTGTGAAGAGGACAGACTGGGTTATGTGGAAGGTTATCGAGGAGGAGTACCCACTACAACTTCTTGATGGTCTGCTATTCCCTTCAGTGGGAAAATATCAGACGTACGCCCAAAGCATGTCTTGCTCGGATCGCTTTGGCTGTGCGCAATATTTGTACTCATTTTCTGTTAAAGAGGGCGAGATGGCGAGACCACTTCGCCTTCCCACCATCCTAGGTGATCTTGTACAGTCGGCGTTAATGAATCGTTTTGTGGATGCGGTGGGCTAGAGGTAATAGGAATGGTATTCTTTAGCAGTAAGTAGCGCCAACGGGCGCTGTACTAACTGTAGCAATCATCTGATCCATAACTGCGTCGTGTCGATAATGTCAATGCTTTCCTTGACTATTTGTGTCTCAAAACGTAAAACTATTGGTCATTTAATAGCTAATGTTTCACAAATACATATATAGGGTGTCCCGCTACTCACGACCGTAACTTAAGAGGACGCTGAACTGACGAAGAAAGTCTGTCACAAATGCTACTTAGCAGCTACGCTGTCGGGTAGCTGGCGCCATCTCTCGGGATCGAGTCAAACAAAAACAAGGATAGATGACATGAAAAAGACAATGATAGACGTATGTCTTTCTCTTCTGGTGCAAAGTTTGGGAATTACGTAGTGCTTCGTGCAGTGTTTTGACAAGAAAAATAACCTTTGTGTCTACAATTTACAGGCTCAATACTTTCTCTTCCTGCAAGCGTTCAAAGTGTTTTTTAATACTTTTGTAATATTCTTACAGGTTCTATCTAGCGGGCCAAAGTGTGTTTTGTGACATATAAACTGTTAAATCTTTAGACATACTTGATAATGTAAGGTAGTCAATTTTCTTAAAAAAACATTTTTTCATTTCATAAACATTTATTATCTGGCAGGACTTGTTACACTGTTTTCTTTTATTGTGGAGAACCGTTTTCTCATTTGTGCAGTACATTTGACAAAAGTCATTATTCAGACATTTTACTATTTTTATGATAAAACAGGACGGTTCAGCATCCTCTTAAATGGCGTACTCCTGATACAATTTTGAGACGAAACTTCTAATATCATATTGTCGAGGCTATAATAGTTTTTGAATTATAAGCGTTTAAAAGTGACCTATCTGGTGGTCTGTTTTTCGCGCGCTCAGGTACAACGCATCGTACATGACAGTGTTCTTGTTTCGATATACTTAATATTTTGATAATTATGCAAATTTTCTCAAAAAATGTTTTTTATTGGATTATAGTTACATAATATTAAT